CCGTTTGCATTTTGAGTTGGCTTGGGTGGACCTTCATGCGCGAAAGGTATAGACAGTTTGTTTTGCAGACTTTGCTGGTATCAAATTTTGTACCCCGTAATAAGCACAAAATCCATTCTGTCCGTATTATTGCAACTGCAAGTTTCTTGATTTTTATCAAATTTTCGTAGTACCGAAAAGCTTCATCTAATCTGTGCATTGTTTGAGGTTTTCCAGTGCATTTGTTGTTCTAAACAGCATTTTCTTACACACCTTAAAGTACAGTCCGTTTCGGTAGCTTTGCTTGTCATCGTCTGGCAAAGCGTTATCAGTAATCAAGCTGATATATCTGCTCGGGCTACTGTATTTGTTGTCGTGTCTTACATGTGGAGTGCCTGGAAAGATATCTGATATCAGCATTTTACTGGTCTATAAAACTGTCTTGAAATCATTAAGTTGTCAACTTTCAAACGCCAACGTTCTAATCTTGGTGATTGTATTGTCTTGACTATTGTTGATAGATGTGACTGAAGTGCAGCATGATCTTGTTATCGAGTTTAAATTTCTTGCCGAATAATAACAAATGGAAATTCCTGAATTCATGAAGCAGAACTTCCATAGCTTCTCCTCCATGTTTGTGAACGGCGTCTGACCGGAATTGTTGCTTTACTTTTTCTCTATTATGATTGTTGCCGTTTTGAATAAGTATTCTGAGGCATGCAAAACTGGACTTCGTCGACCAGATTCATTCTTCCTTTCTTAGGATCGAAATATGTTCATGACTTATCACTATTAAGGTAGTCTTTAATGATGTGAAGATTTTTCTTTGGTCCGGCAGTCCAGTCAAATTTTACACCTTTTATGTGTATAGTCGTCCTTAATGGTTCTGTTAAGCTTGAACTAGCCCATCTCATGAACTTAGACGAAAAATCAGTTCGTGAGACTAGAAATGAACGAATTTCGGATAATGATTTTGGTCTGTCTATATTTTTCAACTGGCATTTACTTTCAGGATTCGGGGAAATCCGGATTCTGGAAAATACGTATCCGTAGACTTGATTTTATGAATGTCGAGGATGAACATTTTGGCTTGTTCAGTGTGAGGTTTGATCTTGAAACGTTGCGTAAAGTCTACTAAGATTGGCGTCGTGTTCTTCTGTGTCTTTACCGAAACATAGCGATGTCGTCTGCAATATTCAATATGCGCCTTTAAGACCTTGAAGTGCTTGACGTAAGCTCGTTTTGGAAAATATCGGTGCTGGCGGACATCCCGAAATTTAGACGTTTAATAACGAAACAGTTCCAATAGTGTCTGGAAACGTTGTCATTCACACGTGAATCTTCCAATCCAACTCAATTTGATGGAAAGCTTTGTACAGTCTGAACGATGAAAAAATAACGTTGCGCCCGTTTAACGTCAAGATGATATCATCCACCGTCGGCAAAACATTTTTCCTCTGTTTGATGGCGGTGTTAGATTTTCTCATATCCACGCACAATCTCTCACTTCATGCGGAGCATTAGGTTTCGGGAGCCGCTACTAAGTTCTGAAACCCATGTGTGATCGGTAAACCTATAACCCTTTTTCAATGTACATCCATTTCCTCTAAACTTTTCAGTTCCTTTTTCGACTTGCGCACGTACATGAAAATGGAGACTCTCCTAGGGCGGTTGAGCTACAGGTACATACACTGTTCATCAATATGAAACTTAAACTTTTCTGTCTCTCAAGACATCCTAAGCCTGTGAAAACTTGAGAATATTCTTCAATAAGTCCTGAATATGCGTCTTTGCTTTGGAACTGATTTTGAAAACTGATTGTATTTTGCGGTAAATCGCCAAGCTCTACCGATAATTTCATAACTGAGTCAATGATTCTTTGTTGCTTTAACGATATGGAAATCTTTTGGTCATAAATTTTGAAAAGTCCGACTCCACAAGCAGGAACATTTGGCCTATGAATGGAAGTGGAGATTTTCTGCCGCGAATGCAAATTGCTTTTGTTTTCGTTTATCTTGATTTACAGGTGACGAATTTTCATTTTCTCCGAGGTCGATTTCGCTATTAATTATTATACGATGAAACCGCTATCTTATCAACACATAAACATCTACACCATTTAATCTAATGCATTTCTTTGGCACTTTTTAGTCCCATCTGATATTTTAAATTCCAAATAAAACATCCGCACTCATTTGAACTGGACGCTCGGTGTGCTTGATTTTGATAAAACTTGTGAATCCGACTGTTTTCATGCCATCGATTAACTTCACACTTGTTTTTGACGTTTTCTGCAGACCGATATGAAATGATTCTTCTTATGATGACAGTAAGATGTACATTTCGCGTCCGATAGCAGGACATACGTGACATATGGGGATAGCTTTCTCCACAATTTTCGGCATTTTTTATTTCGTTCTGGAAGGGTAGTTTTCGCCTTCCCGACGATCAAACTTGCTTCTCTGGATAGTTTGAATATGAACGTTGCTGATAAACGTTTAGGCTGCGAAATCCCTTGGATTGACGGCTATATCGAGGATCTGCTTTTTACCCGCATCTACTTGCTGACTACTTGTATCCTTTGGACATATTGCTGCTTGAGTTTTGTGATATTTCATGGTTCTCATTTTTGTAAAGTAAGTCATTAAGGTGATTTAACCCGGATCTTGTAAACACCTGCAGTTCTCAATGTTTTGTGAACAACACCACTGTATGATCTGGCTTTTTCAATTTTCTGAGTCAATGTTCCGAAAAAATTCACAATGTCTTAGCTTTCTGGCGTAAATCTTATTGTAAACGGTCGATAAGATTCCCCATGCAATTGCTTCATATTACGGAAATCGAATATTTAAATTGTGTGTTTTTTCTAGGGCTTAAAGGTAATGTTGTTAATCCAAGTTTCGTTTCCTCGTAGTTTTCATTGTTCTTTCTCTTAAATTCAATGTATCATAGATAGTCGTAAACTATCATCTCCTGGCATAATGAGTACAGTTGCTTTTTTTTCGTTTCTCTAGTGTTTATAAACCAGTCCCGACAAAATAAGTTTTCTAAATTTTATCCAAATACTTTTTCATCGTACTTCCAGAACAGAGAATTTTCATCATCAAGCATCAAATTTCCGGAAAAGCAGGTAAATTCTTCCATTTTCACAATCTGTTTTTTTTTTCACAGAAGTCAGTTTAAGTTAATCCACAGTTTTTTTTTTAATATCCGATCCTCGTTCGCCAATTGTAACATTTATATTTTCTAGTTTGGATGCTTACTAGCACACAAACTAAAACAAGACCCGAAGGATGGTTCTATATATTTTATTATGAATGTGCTTGCATCCCCAAGTGTATCACTCATAAACTCCAAACATCAAGTAGAACATACAGCACAATAACAATAACAGATATTTGATATTAAAGGCGGGTGGCTTATTTATATCTTGTAGACTTCGCTTACTACAAATAAAGACTTCCTCCATTAATGATAACGAGTGCAATTTACCACCCAGGTCATGTGTTAAGTAATCAAGACATAGCAGATTCCCAAGGGTAACACTTTCACCACGCAGTTAAAGCTCACAGCATGCCAGTGTCAAGAGTGATAATCTGACCTTTAAGTCACTCAAAGTCACCTGTACCTAACAAATACTCTCAAACTGCCAAACATTTATCCCAGAAGGTTGTAACTCGTTCTGGGAAGCAGGTTAATGACCAAAGATAATTCATATCTTGTGTAAAATATAATGTATATATAAACATTGACAAAGTAGGCATAAATTTGCAAGTAGTGTTTATTGTGCTATAAAACAGAAAAAATACAAGATTTATTTGACAGTAACTGAAAGCATTATCTAGGACAAATTATCATAATAATTAAATGTGTTTATCTGAAATTCATTAATGTGAATGTTAGTCTTGACCATGGACTTATTTTGACTTGCTTAACGATGCTTTCTTCAGAATGAATGTGACATTTGATAGCGGACAATATGTTTTATACAGCCTTCTCAGATTTTTCAAACAAAGTGAGATGTTATGATATCAAGATTAGATATACTCTTACATGTTTAGGTTGTCAGTGGTAATAGGATTACTTCCCTTTACTTGATATTCATTAATGCTATGTTATATATATGATCATGCTTCTCTGATACCTGGGTCATTCTCACTTGAGCTCTGGTCTTAACAACATGTATTAAATAGTTATAATAAATTGTAGAATAGTTTGAATCTTGTTATCATCCATACAACATAACAGTTAGGTGACCTAACCAAAAATCCGTATAAAATGTATATTATTCTCTATCTAGCTTCGTTTTAATTTTCCTATTTGAAAAAATGCATATCAATTTCATATGTTGACTAAGTGTTTTCTTTAATTCAATGTGTTTTTTTTTTCTCTAAAGAATTGATCGTGTGAAATAAAATGTTTATTTTTCATTAATGGAAACCACACTGATTCTATTATCTAGACTCTTACACGTCTGTAAAACATATGAGCCGTGCTGTTCGCTTACAAACGCTATAACAAGTAGAGAAACTGATAGCGAACAGCATAGATCCTGATCAGACTGCGCGAATGCGCAGGCTGGTCTGGATTCATGCTGGTCGCAAACCCATTATGTTGGTTTTGTCATGACGCGGCTCATATATTAGACCTTTCGCTATTCATTGTACTCACCAACGTATAATAACCTAATAATATGTACCGGGGTATAATTATTTTCAGCGCACGTTACATGTACATGTATTGTTAACACAGCAAACGTATTTTGTTTGTCAGTCAAACATGCATAAAATGGGGATGTTTCAAGAACAATGATCTTTATATAGGTTCTGTTTAAACTGGTATGCCCAAGATAAAAAGAACATTTTACATATACTGTCATCGCATGTTCTAATTAAATCCATACTCCTTCACTGGTTTTTACTAAGATATAGATTATCTATGTCTCTGTTTTTTACCCACTCAGCGAACATTTGGCAGACAACACCTATACTACTTCATGATTGCCTTTTAGTTCCACATACCTTATCATTTGGGATACTGTGGTCAGTCAGAGTGAAATATCTGATCTAGTCTGTGGTAATCCTACGTTTACATCGGTGGGCCCTGAAATTTAAGACGCTTCCGAAAACGCTTCCCAGACTTTGGTGCAATTTCGAATCTGCAAAATGCAACATGTAACCGATGATTGGTGATTAATAATGGAGCATGATTAATACCACCCTCGGTAACTCAGGACATATTCGTTACGCGTCGTGTACACTTCATTAAGAATCATTAATGTATATTTCCATGGTATTCGACGATGCATTAAGTCTTATTCGTATACTAGAACAATATATACAACATATCACACAGTAAAATTTAAAAAAAGATTATGACCATTCTTTACAGAATAACAAATTATACCTATATGAAAAATGATCTCATCGGCAATTTGTATATAATAAAAGTAATGAATTAAATTATGAGGCAACAATGTTTACTCCTTTAATAAGACGTAATGAGTTTTTTCCATTGAATTTCATCGCCAAATAATGTTTGTATATCTTTAAATTAAACAATATTTGTTCAGTAAACAGAAGGGAATGTTCAACGCAAACAGATACGATGAAAAGTCAATACATTTCATGCATATTATGTTAAAATAATGAGAAAATAATGAAAACTTTTTACCCTTTCTGGTACAGAAGATAGGCTGATTGATATTTTGTTGGTATATCTCGCACTGACCTATAATCACCTCTCGTAAATTATCTGTCGCCATTTCAAACTGACGACATGGTGCTGAGAATTGGCAAAATGCAAAAAACGCAACTATAGCCACAAAAACATACAACGAACATTTTCATCTTCAATCCGATTATAAAATTTTAATGCTTTTCACTTAAGATATCTGTGTATGTTGACCCTGATGTCTTTCAAATTCTTCATTTGACACGTACGATATCTTAATATCAAAAAGCCTCAATTACACAGCATTAATTTTAATTATCCACCTAGTAATGTGTGCACATTTAATTCAGGGTTTATTATCAAACAGTTTAATATATCATATAACAGTGTAAAAGTGCATATTCCATTGAATTATTTTGATATATAGATGTGAACATATGCAAACACACATTTAAACGTTGATCATTTCTGTCTTGAAATTAGCAATCCTTATCTGAGATTTATATCTTTCTCAGGTCTGGTTTGCTTGTAATGATAACATACAATACTGTATAATCCATGTACACAGTCGTTTTACCTGTAACGTTGCTATACTTTAAACGGGCGAATATATTTGAAATGGTTTGGGTATGTTTTTGGTAGCTAATTTGTTTACAAATATGCGTCACTCATTCCGTCAACATTTTCACCTAACACGTGTACTTCATCGTACGAAAACCTAATAGTATCAAATGAAATAAAATATAATATTGGTAAGGCGTTATAACGCAAAAACGCGAAAAAGGCGTTATGTAACGCAAATAAACGCGTAGTAATTAATTAACGCGGAAAAAGGAGATATTACGCGAAATAAAAGGCGTAGTAACAACGAAAAAGGGCGGAGTAACGAGAATCAAAAAAGCGTAATAACGCGAATCGAAAGGTCTAATTACGCGAATCAAAAGGCGTAATAACGCGAATAAAGGCGTTATAACGCGAATCAAAAGGCGTAAGGGGACGGACGAAACAAGCGGCGACTATATGCTCTGCCTTCGGGAGTTACTTGATTTTACTTCGAATTAAATCCGTTCTTCAACAATCATTTATTTCAAATTTCCCTTTAAAGGACAAATTTAAGTATTCCCGGATGTGAACATTACACATGCACTTACACAGTAATATACTATCTTGATTCCATTATCATTATGGCATGATAAGACACACTGCACAAGCCAAGAAAAGATATAATTTCACAGAAATATAAAATCAAATTTAACGTGTTTTGATACAACACGACGTGTCACACTGAGGGTTCCATGATAACAGTCGCATTAACAGATCTGTGGAAGTTTCTTATTACAAAATTTCACCATTCTCATGTTCTGCTTAAAGAAGTTATTGCTATGGGGTGTGAATGGTAGCTTACATTTACTCTTTTTTACATGTCAAATAGGATAATACAGATCTCAACAAATAGTCTACAGACAGGCGCACGTGCGTTCCAACATTTTCTGGGCCTTGGTGACCGAGTGATCAAGGTCCTCGAGTTATCAGTTGCTCCTTACCGCAAAGGGCTGTGTGGAAACTTTGATTCATTACATTCTAGCAGAACTGTGTCATTAGACAGGTATATTACACTATATACCCATTGCATACATAATTACAGTACTGTTTCTACTTTATAGGCAAGATGTTTCTGCCAAGGATATGCCGAATTTATTAATAATATTCTACTTGTGGTCTTACATAAGTTGTGTTTGCAGCATCATTGATCCATTTATATGACGCTTTTATGTTTCTTTTAATATAGCGGAGGCAGCTGTTTGCTTTAATGAATGCTACATTATTTATATGTTGGGTCCAGTTTAAATCTATTAAAATGGTCATCCTAAGGTATTTCAAAAGAATCTGATGTTTTTAATGTTGTATTATGTAAGGACTAAGAACAAATTTTAGGACCATTCTTACAACAGGAAATAATAAACAGTATTAAATTCCATGACCCCATTCTCTCACAAACTTCTAACTGATGTAGATCATTTAGTAAGAGTTAAGAATCTGACGAAGAAATGATTGTTATGTAAACTAGGTTGAACTTAACAAAGAGCCTTACCCTTGATTGATTTAGGAAGATCGTTGATGTATGAAAGGAACAGATGACCAATTTACCAGAGGACACCAGAAAGTACGGGAGTTCCTTTGCTAGGTGTCCTTCTACCGTTACTATTTGAGGGCGGTTAAATAGAATAAATCTTATTCAGAGTAAATACTATATATGTGGGTAGTTTATTTATTAGTTTACCTACCTCATCAAATTTTTTTTAATGTTGTAGAGATAGATAGGTGTCCAATACTATAACATCAGTCTGTTGACCTTTGTCTAAGCTGTCATAAACTTCTTTGAAAGTTGAAATAGATATATAACTCCATTTCGTTAAGCCTAGCCCAAAATGTAAACAATAAAAGAATACGCATGATGAGTGAAATGTTTGAAACAATTAAGATCGTTTTGATACATTAGCACAAGCGATCTGCTGTTTTGATTGATTCCTCACCAGTAATAATCGATTTTGTTTTTCTGAGAGGCAAATGAACATTAATGTTCAATGTCCGAGATCAATTGTTGCAGGAAAATTGGATTGTAAATCCAATGTTCTTCCTATTGGACACATTAGTTATATACAGCAGACTGTTTAATTAAAACAATTTTTTATTAATCTCTCTTGAATCAGACATGTTTAATGCAAATGTAGTGCATATATGCACGTATATATGTATGTCAATGATAAGGGTTTGAAAAAAAGTCATGACTTAATAGATTTATAATATAGCTTATCCGTGATGTCATTATAAACACTCTGAATGTCATTCATAAATTTGTAATCATAAAATTCTTCAATGAAATGGAAAAAAGAAAATTACATTTACTATGAGATGTACATTTTGTATATTAGTCTTTGATTTTAAAATGAGTTATGATAAAAACAATTACAAAAAACAACAACAAACAAATGTATAATATTCACACCAGCAGATTTGTAGCAGTAGTGAAAAAAAAATTTAAAAAGAAAAGAAGGAAAAAACAACATATGCTTAATGTCGGTATTGTTATTATTATATTCTCCAGCCGACAATTAATTTACTTTTACTCAGCTAACTGGCAGTTTTTGGCAAAACCTATCATTCTATAAGAAATCAAACATTCTTTTTGCAAGATTCTAAAGTGCCGAGTGATATCTGAATGTTGCAGAGAAATTAAATTTAATTCAGTAGCTATCTATCTATGGTCGTATTGCCAACCATATTGAAGGTGCCACATGCAAATCGGACGGAGTTTTCTGCAATGTATTTAATTAAAGGTAAACTACTTGACGGGGGAATATGCTAGAATATCACGTCTTTTTAAAGTTTACTTAGGAATCTTTCTGCTTCATCTCAGTTAAAATCGTTCAGTACTTACATGGATGTTTCATTCTAGGCAGGCGATTACATAGCTGACCATATTTCCAAAGCAAATTTGAGCAAATATTGAAACTATATCATAACCACAATATTTACAGTTACGATTAAACAATAACCCATTGATAGTTACTGTAGGATAAGCTAAAAATACAATTTTACATTTTATATAATTTATCAGTAATCATCTTATATATATCAAGTAATGGTTTGACATGTTGTATCGAGTCTTCAAGCTGTGTAACACCGCACTTTGGGGTCAAACGCACTTTGGGGTTCGACCCCAAAGTGCGTTAAACTTCGCACCGCACTTTGGGGTCAAACGCACTTTGGGGTCAAAATCGAGAAATTGACCCCAAAGTGCGTTAATATGCTACATATCAACGCACTTTGGGTTCCAGAGGTCTAAAGGTGTAATCTGAGTTCTGCTTAAATACTGAGAACTGACTTATTTTCGATCTTCGACATTGAAATATTTGAGGTGGAGTTCAAGATGGCGGTCAATACTTTGATGGTGCTTAAGTGATAAAAGTTACTTGAAATATCCAAAAATTGTGTTCATATAACAAAATTACGGTGGCATAAAAGTGACATTTGCAATTTTTTTTAGGTTTTGCATACATATTTTTTTTTTCAGTTTTGCATTCATTTTTTTTTTTTTTTTTTTTTTTTTTTGAGTTTTGCATTCATATTTCATGGTAGTTTTTTCGTACATATTTAATTATTTTATTTTTCGTACATATTTTAGCCAACAAAACAGCCTTCACATCGCATAACAGCCCATAGTTGACTAACACAATGGTTCGGTCACATTTCGGCCCATTTCTGGAATCGGTCCAGTCGTTTTTGGCCGCGCAAGTCTGGTTTCGCCCGACCTTTTTCGGCCCATTTTTTAAATCATGTGTATTATTATATGCTATTATAGTAGTGTCTATTTGGAAAGGGCTGTTGATTATTAGATGTATTATTCTATGAATATGCACCACTCAACCCCACTCCCTGAGAATAGCGGGGGCCATTGACTTTAAACCAAGCCGACCACTGGTAAAATCTTCGCCCTGATAATAACATTCCTGCCTTATGACCCGGAACAGTGCAGACATCAAAACACGATTCTTTTTAACCCGCACTCCCCCTGGGGCAAGGGAGGTGGTTACAAATGACTGGTGTATTACAATAATGCACAATTAAAGATCTAAATAGGTTCTTATATTTCACTGATTTAGAAAAAAAATATATATACATGTATATATTCGAGTATATATATACAAATGTACTAAAAAGTGTTGTAAATCTTTTTGATACCTCCAAAAATGAAAATGTTGGTATTTGCAAATGGCGTTTGCAAATGGGGTACTGTAATTTACAGATGGCGAAGTGTTTGAAAATGGTGTTTTACAAATGGCGTAATTATCCAAATGGTGCCGTGTTGAGCCCCATTTTAAATATGTTGGGAATGAAATAAAATGCAGTTAATTTTTTTTCCAAAAGAACTATAAATATACTCTATTGCAATGTTCTGGTGAAACATCAAGTTTTTCGATCGGACTATAAATTGTGATTTTTACAAATACATTATAAGGCTTATCAACACACTAAAGGGTTTTTGTAAGTTCCGTAACAACCGTTTGCCAGAGGCTTTTTTAATAGGAAATCTTAAATACTTCTTTAGAAAGAGCAAACATGAATTTCATAATGTTAAAATAATGATATCAGAGAAATGTAAGATGCTTGTTACCTGAACAAAGTAGCGATAAATGTGAAATTATTTTTCATAGAAATAGTCAAAACAATGTAGTATTTCATATAAAATACTTATTCACTATAACTGTACTCATCATTGTCAAAAAGCAACAGATTAAAAGGATGGTTCAGGTAATTGACCAATGTGTATTTTTGATAATATAAAAGAACATCAAAATAAAAAAAGCTTTAAAGAAAAACAAATAAAAGCATAATGGGCCTTTAAAATGTTATTTTTAACCCTCGGGGGGATCGATACCCCACACTCCCCTCAGGCAATTTTTTTACTGAATTATCTTACTAAGATTACTCAGAATTTATACCTTTGTCTATGCTAAGATTATCATATTTCTGTAAAAAGTGTAAATAACAAACGGGAAAATGATGCATTAAGCTAAAAACAATGGAGTTAATGAAAGGTGTACATTCTTTTAAAATAAATGGACAATTTGAGAAAAACATATTTTAAGCTTAATAATTGATACAAATTCTTTATTTGGTGATTTATTTAGTGAAAGTCCTTCACTTACTAATCAAGACCATTTAAATTCCTATTGATTCAGGGCACATGTTTTGTGTCTATTTAATACCTTTATTTTTGTTTACCATTGGTTTAATTACACTATATTATTTAAAACATAATGAACATAAATTTTCTCTGACCCCAAAGTGCGGTCGTTTGCCTGATGTTAAAAAATGCATAAGTACCTGTTTAACGCACTTTGGGGTCGAAATTAGACACCAAAGTGCGTAACGCACTTTGGGGTTGGACCCCAAAGTACGTAACGCACTTTGGGGTCGGACCCCAAAGTGCGTTTGACCCCAAAGTGAACGAGTGTATTTGTTGATAATCGACATTTACCCTACAACGAACTCTCAGATAAGATACCGTTATTTTTATCCCATTAAGATTAACTAGTTTACAATTTAAACAAACGCATGCGGGAGGATTTGAAGGTTAACCGTTAAAATTACTGTCACTATGTCATCTGCACACGATATTGTTAAAGAGAAATTTGGAACGACAAAAGATGGAAAAGATGTTTACAAGTGAGTCAGACTATTCAACCTATTTAACTATTCATGCGTGCTTTCAGTTTACATAGCATAAAATATGTATAGACTTTACATAAATATAACATATAATAATTGCAAGTAGTTAAATATAATATGTAAATAGCGATAGTTCATACACATATCATATATGCCTGTTAGCAAGATTTTACAGGCGTGTTGATTCTTTACAGGTTCACATTGAAAGCAGGAAAAATATCAGTGAATATTCTTAACTTTGGCTGTGTAGTTAAAGATATTTTGGTACCTGATCGAAATGGAAATGTAGTAGATGTATGCCTTGGGTATGACAACTTTGATGGTGAAGTATTTAGTTGCTTGTATTTATTAATTGTCCACATTTGCTCAGCCGTCTCCAACAACTTGGAGCTAGTTGCATCGCAACTTTAGATCTATCTAATAAAATCAATTTAAGAGTGCCATTAGAATAATAATAATAATATTATATTGATGCGTTATCAAGATATTTTATCTTTTATGCTTGAACATTAAAATGGCAAGAAATAGCCTCATATCCAGATGCTAATACTCTAGATGAAACAAATACTTTTGTTAAAAATACTATTAGTAAGATACAAAATCATTCTTACTCAAAATCAGTATGAAAATAACACATTGAATTCTATTCATCATTTAAAATGTACGTTACACAATTCAAATTTTAGGATATGAAACGAATCCAGCATTTATGGGCGCCATATGTGGTAGAGTAGCTAACCGTATAGATGGAGCGACATTTGAACTTGACGGTTCTAAGTATGATGTTTCAAAGAATGATCCGCTAGGAAACAATATGTGTCATGGGGGTTTCACAGGTCTAACACGGGTTTGTGTTTTCATATTTTCATAATTTCATTTATTTGTTTGTTTTTCTGGTTTATACCCCGGTTTTGAAAATACATTTCATTTTAGACATAGCGGCCGACCAACCTTACCGGCTGTCCTGGATAACATATCAGTAATTGCCAATTTCTAATATTACTTCTCCGATGCTTTGACTGTGGAGCTAAGAGGGAAGACTTAATTTTAATTTATACGAATTTCTTTGTGAATAAAGAAATGACATAAGTAGCATTAAACATACTGTCTATTCATTAAAATGACCATCTAGTAGCTGGGAAAACCCCAAATATTCTTAATTCCGGAGTTAGTTTATTATAAAAAAAAACTGACTTACAGTATTGTAATACTGAACATTCATATACAGACTAAAATATTGTTTTAAATCAAGATATTGCATCATTTTCTTTGATTTGAAACCCATTAGGATAAGTACAGAAATAACCTTGACTCATCATAGCATATGCATTGTGTATATTTTAATTCAAGAGATACTTTGATTGGACAATAAACGGTACAAAGCTCTGCCTCCAGTACGTTGACACGGATGGTTCGGAAGGATTTCCTGGAGATGTAACTATCACCGTGACGTATGAACTAACTGAAGAGTCCGGTCTCATGATTGATTACAAGGCAACAACTAACAAGCCCACACCTGTAGATATATCAAACCATTTCATGGTTAACCTTTCCGGACATGTAAGATTAAGATATATTAATATCGACATCTCATTGAAATGATAAACGATGCTGTATGATACAGGAATAATCCTTAATGTTTATTCTACAAAAACAATACCTATTCTGAAATGTTAATACTCAATTCACCACGTGACTTTTTGTGATTTGCGCTGGGCAAACACCAATACAATTAATACATCCTGTTTTTTTTTGTTTTTGTTTTTGATTTCTTCAGTTACCTTTTTAATAGTTCCTTATATTTAATGGAATAAAGTGTAAATCCAAAAAAAAAGTATTTCTTTTACGGAAAGTGAAACCGTATGCCGTATGTTTGAACAACATACTTCACTTTAGGTAAGAAAAGGTCAAGGGTTCCTCACTAGAACTAGCGGACTCAACACTTCTTCATCTAATAAAAAATGAAATTTTATGGTAGAAAATAAAACCTGGACCTTCTTTTGTATTGGTTTTAGAATCATAAAATGTCGATTGGTAAAAGGCACCGTGGTATCTTTATAACGCCTGCATGATATTAATTAACGTTGTATGAAAAAGAAATTATAAAGGATAAAATCTAAACTGGAATAGCTACTTAACATGAAAATAATCTTTTATAAAACAATTAGCATAAACTGAGGTATATAATTATATAGTTCATCGTTAGTTTTGAGAAACATGTTCCCCATTAAAAAAAATAGAAGTTTATTTATTGTTTTGAAATTACAATCTACAGAAATTATTAAATGTCTTACAGGATGGTGGATATATTGGTGACCATGTAGTGAAAATGAATGCATCGCAATATCTGGAATTCAATGAAAAATTTATACCAACAGGTAGGTTTTGCTATATCAGAACACACACTTAAAGTTATTGTATATATTGATCATTATTATAGTTATTTCTTTTATAAAATATATATATATGTTTAAATCTTTACTGAAACTTTAGATAACATTCAATTTGGCATTGGTCAGGTTTGTCACAGGACAATGAGAAAATTATGTTCTTTTTGGGGAATGTGTTTCAGGAACGATAACTAATGTATCAGGAACAATGTATGACCTTCAGAAACCAACAGTCCTTAACGATGTTCTTGATAAAATGCCTGGCAAAGATGGTCTCCACTTGGCATATATCTTACCTGGAGCCAAAGGGGAGAAGAAAATGGTTGCTAAGTATGTTTTGTTAAGCTGAATATGTACTTTAAATGCTAATGTATCTCTATAGTTTATCTATCAATGCTCAGGTAAAGTATACGGTTTTGATCTGGTTTTGTAAATATATATTTAAAATTGTAACGCAATGAGCACACGAAACCAAAAACTCTTTCTTTCATCCAAACAAACTAAATGATTCCCTAGAATATCGTTTAAGTATTATCTTGGCATAAAAAGTATATATTTGATGTTTATGACACATCGATTTATAATAGAAATTTACACACTTATGTGCAATTTTTGCAGCTTTATATTCTTTTAGAAATGTCTTAAGGAGTCTTTCGTTATAAAAAAAAGTCGTTCTTTTTCAGGGGGGGGGTTCACCCCCCAAAACGGGGTTTTATTAAGTAAACCACTACAAACCTCGTTTATTCCCTATAGCTTTTTTCTACTTAGCTCTTGCTGAAAAAATCCAAATGCAAAACGGTGTTGATATAAAAAGAGTGGCGGGATTTTGTTCATGCCTCAAGGCTATCCAGCTTCTGTTAATGTAGTAAGTGCCACGTATAATTACAAATATTAGACTTGTTTTATTTTCGTTTAATGCACAAATTTGTTAAAAACACATGTATAATAAGCGTGATTATTTTGAATTAATTTTGGAGAATACATTCACTCTTTCCAACAGAAAGATCGTGTCAAAGAATGTTTTAAATATATAGTATTATATAGTTAACTCTGTGGATTTTTTCAAGTTGAATTGATTTAATCTGTTTGCTGTTGGTAAACAATACGTTCCTTTTTATTTCAGCCAAGTTTTCCGAGTAGCATATTGCGTCCTGGTGAGACATACCACACAACTTCATGGTATAAATTTGGAGTGACCAACTGACATTTTTGTACATATCATATATAAGATCAAATGATAATGTATTTTTACATAATATATAAAAATGACAATATCAAATATATTTTTTCTTAGTAAGTCAATATACTAAAGCCTAAACTTGCACGATATTTAGACATTTTCACTCATAATTAAGAAAAAATGAAGTATCACGGAGAGCTTGTATTAAATCATTAGAAAAGCTAACATTTCTTGTATATGTTCATATGGGTAATCAATCTGATTAAAACCAGCTCCTTAATCAGGTAAGAAATAAGTAGATCTGAACTTTAGTCTGACTGTATGGGTGATATACTATTATTTTATCTTATTTCATTATGTATTTCACTTTGCACGGCTAGTATATAAATATAACACTCGATATAAACACAGACACAAGAGTTGTTGATAAAACAGAGGCTGTAAAAGATGACGAACTTGTTGTATCAAGAATCTTGCAAACATCAGCCGTCGGGTAATCAAAGCAGAATGTTTCCACCAAATCTCTGAAGAAAAAACAAAACATGTATCGACAAGCGTTTAGTAAAAAGTTTGAGAATAACGTATTCACGCAACTTAATAGTGTAGACAAACCACGCAAATTTGCCGTATCGTAGGTTGTGGAAAGAGAATCGTCTGTTGACATAACAAAATCAAGCACTGAATGTACTGATGGGGAGGCTATGACAGAATGTTTTAGACTTATAGTTTCTTTTCTTTTTGCTTAAAATGTGCTGTTTTTCAATTATTTACCAAAATAAGAAGATATGCAACAATTGCGCTTCATTTATCCTTACTGTTGTGCTTTTCAACCATTTCAATATTATGGTTTTAATATGGGTTGAACTATTCAAATTTTTGTTAATATTCCAGAACAATTTCATTGGAGGTCTTACATTCGAACTGTTAATCCATGCCAAAATTTTGAAAAAACCTAAAACTGTCAATAATAAAATGAACATACCAAAGCCAAGTATGACGACTGTTTAATTATAAAGATAAACAATAACATTTTACAAACTGACCCGGTTTTCCTTATCAAAAATTCTATAGGAACTGTGTCATCAAAAATTATTTAATGTCATTTTAATATCAATTGAAATGATAATAACAAAACTGCCAAGTTTTATGAACAGTTTTATGACATAAAAATTAAAATATTTTACATTGTACCATAATTTTGAGAAATTTAAATACTGTCTTTGTGCATGAGTATTAAAAAACTTCATGCTTCAGCGGAAAACAGAAAGTTGTCCTTTTCCCGAAGCCAAATCTCGGAATAAAATCACGTTTCAAAAATTAAATTCCCATTTCATTACAATCGCTTGACTTTTTTTTTGACCCGGCTTCGGAAATAATATTAAAGCTTAAATATTCTTGAAAAAAATTTACATATCCGGCAAAAGCTAATTCAAAATTGAATCAAACCTAAAGGAAAATTGATCCAGGAAGTTATATTCTTTTTTTTTAAATCGCCAAACACTAACCAAACTTTAATGGTAGGTTAATGATTAGATTCTACCATGGTATTTTTTAAACCCACTAGTTGAAAATATTACTTGCGGAAAAATCTGTTTGTTAACAGGGTGTGGTGGGTTATTACGTAGGGTTTTTTTCCCTGTCGACCATTTCCCGCAAATTAGATGAGAACATTGAAGCGTCAGTGCTATGAATGGTGTTATAAATAGCGTGTTTTGGAAAGATTTTGTTGAAACTTCTCCAAATCCCTCCAGAGGCGTGCACGTCGCGGAGAAGGGCTCACGGCAGGTCAAGGTCAAGTCATCTCAAGTACCAGAGGTGATTGGTTGACCTGTCCCCGTGACTCACTCTGGAGGTTTGGCGCTAATGAATGCCGTTTTTGGGGGAGGCTATGCCCGACCCCTAATGTTTAATAACCGTCCGTCAAATCTTACTGCCGCGGTAATCAGGTCAAAAAATAGTACCTTGATTTTTTCTAAGCTGACTCATCAACTCATCACAGACATTTACAATATGAAAATATTTTCAATTCTTTAATTTTCATATCTGCAATTTGTAAAGATAATAATTCTCGATTTTTGTTTTTGTTATTTTTTCAAAAGTCACTACTCCGTGACGTCATACTGCCGCGGTAATCAGGTTTAGGGCATACGTACGTTGGTAATAAATAGTTCTGGTATGAAAACCCTTCTATATAATAACTTTATCAATATTTTTTAAACAAAAAGCATAAATGAAAATTCTTAGATAAATGCTTTTTAATTAGGTGGCAAATATTCTTTTATTATTTTTGATAACAAGTTTCCCAATTACTACGCAGCGACCAACTGTTTATTTTTTTTTTGACAGGTCATTAACTAGAACGTTGCAACACCCGTAGTCTCAATATCATGCATGTTCTTTTGTTGTTATAAACCATTAATAGTCCTTAATATTTTTTAAAGACAAATAATGGTCAACTGTCGCTTACATCAGAGACATGGATCATGCTTGCGTGATAACTAAGGAAAACTAACTTATTAGTACACCTTAAGGAGGCTGTACGCGAAAACGCTCATTAACCGCTATATCATATAGCTGTTAGTAAATATTTTGCATACATTTAGAACTAAAAATTCACTAATGGTAATGAACATATAGTTTGAAAACATTATATTCTTAAACCCATGTTATCGCCGAAAAAAAACTATTTAACTACAAAATCCGTAAGGACCCTCCCACAAAATTTCACCACAAGATTACATTTATAATATTAGCAAAATAAAAAAAAGCAATACTTATATTTTCATCTTACATAATTCATTAATCAAACTTTTTAACATAAAAATATCTTTTTAAAAATATGTCTGCCAATTGACAGATCCCTACTCTGATCTTTTATTTGTAAAGGAATAAATTTAAAAATGTGCTCTTTTGTTTAGGAATATTTTGTAGTGAAAGTCTTAATATATCCACTAATCTCATTATTAGAATTAGACAGGTCAGGGATTTATACAACCAGTAGTTTAGTTATCTACGCTTATTTTAATCCCAATAGAAACATTCAAATATTTGGGGTAAAAAACATGACCAAAGTACCTAGTAGTCGTTTACCCGGTGGTGATCCCATTAAACTGATTATAGATTCGATTAGAAAACACAAATAGAAACATGTGTTTCGGTACAACAAAAATCGGAAGTAAAGTGAACAGTTAAATGACAGAATATGTGGTCAAATATGTTTTAACGAGGAAATAATTATTTCAGAGAAAGACGCAAAGATCAGTCTTCAATCAAATGATTGACCCCAGAAAAGTTTATTCAATTCTAGGGCAACGAATCATAATTTGATAGTCCATGTGTAATAAAATTTTCAATACAGATTATGAGATACATAAGAATATTAAAGAATAAGAAGCTTTAAAAAACAAAACAAAAAAAACGCATATATATACGAATGACTTACAGTCGAGCATCGGAAATTCATCAACATATCTTACGAAAAATTTAAATTGAAAACGATATTTTGCGCGCGCTGAAGTGATTTATGTTTATTTGAATAAATCAAATAAAAAGAAGTTATATGTTTGTGTTCTAAAAATAATTGCGGCATAAGACGAATTTCGTTTTCATTTTACAACACTCGAAAAATTACTACAGAAAATATGTTGTTGTTTTTTTTTGTTTTGTTTTCAACAAGAGTGTGTGTGTGTTAAGTTTCATTTATTCTCGGCACCGGAATAAACCATATGTCCGAATTATAGCATCGGGGACGTCTTTTTCAAAAGCAGAATCTTCCTGGTAAGCCCATTCTTCGTTCGTTAGTGGTAAAAGAGACGACAGTACTGTCCAATGCATCAACTTTCCTGACTGACGACAACAAAAACGGCATTTATTAGCGCCAAACCTCCAGAGTAAGTTACGACAGGTCAAACCAATCACCTCTGGTACTTGAGATGACTTGACCTTGACCTGCCGTGTGCCTTCTCCGCGACGTGCATACCTCTGGAGGGATTTGGGAGAAGTTTCAACAAAAAAAACCTCCAAAACACGCCTTTTTATAACACCATTCATAGCACTGACGCTTCGATGTTCTCATCTATTTGCGGGAAATGGTCGACAAGGAAAACCTACGTTATAACCGCACACCCTGTTAACAACAGATTTACCGCAGTATATATTTCAAGCTAGTGAGGTTTAAAATCTATCGA